AAAAAATATTATATTAAAAATTATTATATTATTATCGTCTTGTATTATATTATTTAATTATTATATTATTATTGTTATATTAAATATTACAAATATTAAATATATATAACAACAAAAAATCTATTATATTATTTTAAGGCAAGATTATTACAAAAATCTTTCTCTGAAATATCAAGTGTTTAAGAAAATCGTTTAGTATGTACTTTCAGTGTGAGTGTGAGACTGAGGACAGACACTGAGTGTAGAGACTGAGAATGCATTCAGAGACGCTGCTCCTTTAATAACACACACACAGTGAAGCTGGATCAATCCTGCGGGACAGATGCACTGGAAATGCTAATGTATTCCACTAGAGCCGCTAGAGCTCCACTTTCATAATCCGCTGCTCGTGAAACGCTAAGAGCCAGCACAGGCCGTGAAATCAGAGTGAGAGGAGAAGAGGACCTGATAGAGGACTGCATCGGCACATTATTCAACAGCCAAAATGGAGGATGAAATAGAGGTCTCGAACTAAACCCAACGCAAACTCACAATCACTCATTGTCTTATCTTCTTCAAAATAAAAAGAAAAAATCAATCCAATAAAATGACAACATTAAAAATGTCTAATAATACTATATTTATTTTATTAATTACAAATCTAAATCACAAACTTAAAAATGCAGTAAAAGCATGAACAACAATCTCAAAACCTTTTTCAGCTAGTTGATTATTATTATTATTATTGTCATATTGATAAAAAAAAAAAACACAAAATTTCGAGTAAAATTTTTTGCTGCCCTACAAACATGAACAGCAAACCTGAAGCTTTTTTTAATAAAAAATAATTGCATTTTAAATTGCAATCACTTACTATTTTCCCACCATAATTCGTGCAGCCCTAAGATGACCCTCCAGGAAGAAGGCCTTCAGAAAAACGCAGCAGCTTCCAAGAAAGTCCAAGACTTCCCCTCAGTGACCCGCTCAAATGCAGCCCAGCAGGACAGACAGGAACGCTGTACGTGTATCACACACATTTGCAGTCGAGTTGCATCAGGCTCCTGTTGAGTGACTTCAAATGTGTTTCTGTCTCTAGGTTCAATCTCATTCATCTGATCTTCAGCTCAAACTCCCGCCCAGCTCACATTCCTGCTCATTATCCTTATCGACGCACCACAGAGTAAATGCTTTGTGAGGTGAAAACCTTCAAAAGAGGAAGTCAGCTTTCAAACTAGTTTCTGAATGAGAAATCTGCCGGTTTCTGCTTTAGTGCAGCTGCTGTTAATGCACCTGATCATCACGAGATGAGAAAGATGACCATTATCCCATTACAACAACTGGGAAAAGTGCCTATGTTGCTTTAAAGGGAAAGCTCACCCAAAAATAAAGATTTGCTGTTAATTTACTCACCCTCAGGCCATCCAAGATGGTGACTTTTTTTCTTCAGTAAAACAGTTAAGAAGATTTTTAGGTGAAACTGTGCTCCTTGGTGATTCATTAAGTAATAGTCAGCAGCTAGCGGCACTTTGAGAGTCAAAAAAAGCACATACAGGCAACACAAAATGAATCCCTGTGGCTCGTGATGATATATTGAGGTCTTATGAAGCGAAGCGATCAGTCTGTGCAAGCAACTCAACATTATTTACAACATTATTACCTGTAATCCAGAGACTCAGGCAAACGGTCCGGACTCGGAGTGATGTCCGGTTCACGAACTAATCATTCTTTTGAACCGATTCTTTTTAGTGAACTAGTTGAACCAGTTCATCAAATCGGACTGGACCGTCTGAAACAGTTCGCCGCTCAAGCAGCACAGATCTACAAGTTACGCAATCAAAACTCACTTTCAGACGCCTGACAGTCACTCCGACTTGAAATGAGCCAAAATAGAGCTTATCTGATCCTATGATGAATGAACCGATTCAGCGCTCCAGTTCGAAAGAATCAGTTCACAGAAAAGAATCGTATTTCCCTGTTTGCCTGAGGCTCTGGAGTAGCCCACAAGTAATAATGTAAATAACTGTAAATAATTTTCAGTTTCTTGCACTGACTGATTATTTCGCTTCATAAGACTTCAATATATCATCAGGAGCCACGGGTATTAATTTTGAGTTCCTTGATATACTTTTTTGACTCTCAAAGTGCTGGTAGCCATTGACTTGCATTTTCTGAATCACCAAGAATCACGGTTTCAGCAAAAAATCTTCTTTACTGTTCTACTGAAGAAAAAAGCTAGCTACATCTGGGAAGGCCTGAGGGCGACTGAATTTACAGTCAATTTACAGAACTATCCCTATTTAGGCAGCACACTAGATTTTGATGGAGTGCACTCGGTTAATATAATACACCAAAATAGATTGCTTTAACATTATCTTAATGAGAAAAAGCTAGAAAAATCAATCTTTCGGTTTTAAACGGATTAGCTGAACACATGGACACGAGCACAGCTTAAATATTTGCTCTAAAGTACGTTTAGTCAAAGCTGAACACTCACAACGGTCTTTTTCCTCGTTTATTGACACATTTCACAACTTGACTAGGGTAAACTTTGATTGTGAACTAATCCAGCACCAGATTCTACAACACACAGCCTATAAAACAATGGAAAACGTGTCTATTTCGGTCCTACAGGAAGGCCTTTATAAGCAGAAGGTAAACACTTTGTACTAGGAGAGCATGGAAACCCATGTGACGTGATTTCACCACCGCAATCAAGCTCTGCAGATAAACAGTCTCTGAGTGTGATGAAGCCTTATGAGCTTCTTATCATGATAAATCACGGCTAGATGATGAGAACGTGACAAACCTGACCTGACCAGAATGACAACACCGCTGCTGTTAAGAGGAAATACATCGACGGTAATTCACTCATTTAGTCACATTTTTAGGACAACTTCAAGGTTTGAGTCTAGAGCTTCCAAGCTTAAATCTTGGAGCAGAAAATAGCCACCTAGCAAACACCTAACAACCTCCTTGCAACCACCTACAATATCCTGGGCGTGCAAACTTCGCTCACGTGTTCTTCAGAAAATGTAAAAATTTAGTGATTTAAAGGGATAGTTCACCCAAAAATGAAAAAAATTCTGTCATCATTTACTCACCCTCATGTCGTTCCAAACCTGTATGAGTTGCTTTCTTATGTTGAACACAAAAGAAGATATTTTGAAGATTGCTGGTTATCAAACAGTTGGTGGTTGCCATTGACTTCCATAGTAGGAAAAAAAAATACTATGGAAGTCAATGGCAACCAACAACTGTTTTGAGTAAATGATGACAGAATTTTCATTTTTGGGTGAACTATCCCTTTAATGCCATTTCTAAATGTAATGCTGTTATCAGGTATTTCAGCACAGAGAGACGTGACAGAAGAAAGACTGAGGATAATAATCCGGTCTGTCGCTGGTTCCTGTCTGAGGTTATTTTGGGCTCATGTTCCTGATCCCAGAGATGAATAATTCTCACAGGTTATTTCTGACTGTCACTGGACACCTGCAAACGTCAGTCTGCCGTCTCATCTACTGACTAGACAACAGACTCCAGAACCAAAACAGTGAGCAACAGACAAAAACACAAGCTGGAGATCTTCTGAAGATCCTAAAGCAGTCATTTTGACCTCGAAGGTCACGGTCTCAGTGATGAACACATGAATCAATACTTAATAGAAAAATATTATTGCACAGCTCTTTCAAAGCTCAGGAGATGTAATAGAGAAAAACTTAGAAGTATCACCTGCATCTCAGATGTTTCTTCTAAAATTTCTTTGAAGAATAAAACACACAAACTTACATCATCCAGTAAGAATACAGAGCTTTAAAATGAATGTGGAAATGAGTATCATTTGATGAGAAATGATTGAGTTTCTATTGAGGTCTCTGACTGCAGACTTCTGAAATCTGAGCACAGTTAAGACACTGTTGAGATGTCTTCTGAAATGCATTTGGAGACACGTGACATCAGTCTTTTTCTCAGGAGAAACATCTGAGAAGAAGGAAATGCAAGTGACATTCTTCATTCGCTCTCTATTTCATTTCACTGCTGTTTTGGAAAAACAACTGAGATGTTCTGAAGGTCCTAAATCAGTGATGACCACACGAATCACTACTAATTACATCTTCAGTGGAAAAAAAAATGCTCTTTCAAAGCTCAGGACCTAATAGTGAAAAACTATATATTGTTTTATTTAAGGTACCAGCTTTGATCGATGTTTCTCCTAAAATTTCTTCGGCGAATAAAACACACAATTGAGTCACTAATCATCATCCAGTAAGAATATAGAGCTATAAAATGAACGTAGAGCAGTTCAGATCATTAGATGAGAAATGCTTAAGTTTAATATTGAGAGCTCTGATTGTAAAATTTTGAAATCTGAGCACAGTTGAGGCACATCTGAGAAGCAAGAGATGCAAGTGATGTTTTGCATTTTGCTCTCTATTTCATTTCAGTGCTGTCTTGGAGAAACAACTGAGATGTTCTGAAGGTCCTAAGTCAGTAGTCTCGACTTCTAGATCTTACAGAAGATCTCTGATGCTCAGCGGAAAATATTATTGCTCAGAAATGCTCTTTCAAAGTTCTAAAGACCTAATAGATGCATTTTTCTCATTATTTAGTTTCACTGTTGTCTAGAAAAAACAATTGAGATATTAATAAAGACTCTAAAGAATCTTTTTTTTTTTTTTTATATAGATCCATTTGCAAGTCCATAAAATTATGGACAAACTTCCTTAAGGCCTTTTAAACCAAATGTAAGTATCATGAACTGATTCAGACTTTATGGTCCAGTCTATGAATGTCAGTTTCACCATTGTGGGTTTCTTAATCACCAAAAAACACAATTATGGTGCAATGGCTGGTGAAGCAAGTCAGTCAATTTTTTATTTTTTTATTTTTTTATTATGTAGTCATATATTAAAGCCACACCTAACCTGACAGAAACAAGATCTGACACGCGTTCTCCTTCATGAGAACCATCAGAGGAACATTGTGCAATCCATCCAGTGTTATGCATCCAGTGTGCCACTCACCCAGCGTCTTAACGGCGATCTGTCTCGTGAGCGGCGGAGGCAGGTTGATGCACACCAGATCCACATCCGGATGCAGCAGCACGTCATCGATCCGGTTAGTGTAGTAGGGCACGTTCATGTCGCGCGCCAGCTCCTCCGCCTCCTCCTGCGTGCGACCCCACAGCGCCTTCACCGAGAAGCCCTCGTTCTTCAGCAGAGGGATGATGACCCGGGTCGTCAGACTGGTGCCGAACACACCCACCCCGGGCAACATGACTGTCGCGCGCGGATGCTCACACACCGGAGGCGGGTGACCCGGCGGGTGCGGGTTCGAACCCGAGCAGGGCTGTTGTGTTAACTATGACCATTGCGCCTTTGGGTTCCTCCCAGCTGTATAAAATCAATAACTATTCATTCAAATAATAAAGGTGAGATGGATTCATCTTCCTCCTCCTCCTCATCATCATCCACCTGCACACTGCGACCCGACCCCACAGCGCCTTCACCGAGAAGCCCTCGTTCTTCAGCAGAGGGATGATGACCCGGGTCGTCAGACTGGTGCCGAACACACCCACCCCGGGCAACATGACTGTCGCGCGCGGATGCTCACACACCGGAGGCGGGTGACCCGGCGGGTGCGGGTTCGAACCCTGATGCGTGAACTATGACCATTGCGCCTTTGGGTTCCTCCCAGCTGTGTAAAACCTCTGTAAATCAATAATTATTCATTCAAAGGTGAGATGGATTCATCTTCCTCAATCATCATCATCATCATCCACCTGCACACTGCGACCCGCGTCTGCGCATCTGTAAGCGATCCCGGTTTGAATGCACGCGATGATACAATATTACATTCACAAATGCATTTGTATCCGCTTCGGAATCTGCGCGACGCGCCACACTCGCGTCGCGTTCCCTCTGTATGATCCAGAAAGACGCGAACGCATCGCTGGCGAGGTCAGTGCGTGCGCGTCACGATGCAAATGGTATCCAAAGAGTATTTCCAATACGTTCCTGCGAGCGTTGTAGCGTCTCTGCACCTCTCGCTATCAATATTGCGATCATCTACTGCGGCCGGTGCAGAGTTCCGCCCTCCCCGTTAACTCCTTCACAACCGGAGCCACCAATCCTACTATAGCGAAGGCTTGCTATGTGAATATTAATTACGCAGAGTGACGTTCGACAAAGAGGACCGTCTGATTGGATGACGGCGGGTGGGCGCTGGGTCAGCTGGGCAATCCGAAGGTGGCAGAGGCGTGGTTTATGAATATTAAGTACGTTACGTAACAGGACGCCGAGGAGGTTACTAAGCAACGTCGTTGAACGATTAATATTCATAAGCCAAGCCTGCGCCGTAGTAGGATTGGAAAAGGCAGCGGAATTATGCATACAGCTCTTTTGATCACAGCGGGAGACGGTGACTGCAGTGAACGGAAACACAATAACCCAGCGAGAAGATGACAAATGAATTATTATTAGGTTAAAAACATTTAATAAGTGGCAGAGAAGACAATAAAGGGGTCATATTGAGTAGAAGAGCAACAAAAGGTGGAATAAATACATAAATAAAAATGTGTATATACAAATGCACATAAACACAGAAATATTCTACATTATATAATAGCCTATATATTATATATATAATAATTACATATTATATATAATATTATTATTATATATTTAATATTTTAAATTGTTTATCATGGAATAGTTTGTATAATAAACCAATGTCATATTAAGATAATACATTTTGAGTGTCAGTGCTTAAGATTAAAATATCACAAAGCACTAAACATTGCCACATTATTTCCAGAGGCGATTCAAACCTCCCCATGAGTCAATATTCAGATGGAAACTACAGTAGCAGTGAGTCAATAACGGCCCTGTTTTTGCATGTTCCAAAACTTGCTTATGGCAGAACTGAGGAGGAGGAGGAAGATGATTAATCACTGGACAGATAGTTTGTGACACAGACTCAGAAACACATTAAGCTTCTCTTTTACCCATGACCTTCTCATCCCACCTCTCATCAGAAGAGCTCAAAACTCACTCTTAAAATATTGGTTGACTGATTTATTGTTGCTGAAAATAGTAGCATTATTGAAAAGAATTAAAAAAATTAAGTCAAAATGCACTCTTTTATACTCATTGCATGTGAGTATATGGATATCAAATAACATTCTACCCAGTATGTTTGTCTTTGACTCTGTTCTTAATGATTTAATCAGCCGCTCGTGTCTCTGATCTGACTGTGAGCTGCTGTGGATCATGTGATGTTCATGTGAGTGTGAAACAGACCCTAAAACACATGAGGAATGTATTGTTTTATATGCACTGTGTTCTATTGAATAATATAGTGATCACTGAGACTTCACAAACAAACTCTGCTTGGTTCATCATTGTGTATTCATGTATCCTGAAACAAAACAAGACAAGGAAACAAATATTGATTTGGCTGATGGTTCTAGACCTCAGACCGTCAAAAGTCAATAAGTGCATTTAAATAGAATTAAACTGTTCAAAGAAAAAAAAGACAGTAAAACACAATAGTGATCACTGAGACTTCACAAACAAACTCTGCTTGGTTCATATAATAATTAGCATGAATTATCAGGTAAACATTTGCTTTAGAAAGATATATATATATATATA